CCAGCGGGGAGGGGGGGGGGGCCGTCTCCCCCGGGGCAGCCCCGGCCCGGCCGACCCCCCCTCCCGCGCGGGCTGGCGCTGCTACGAGCCTGATCTGCCGGCTGCGGGCTGCCTTGGAGGGAAAGGGGCCGCGATAGCGCGGGTCCGGCGCCTCCCGGTCCCATCTCCAGAGGGCTCTGGCACTGGCTTGAACCGGCTGGGCTCTCTCCTTCTTCCCCCTCCCAGCCCCGAGCCCTGGTGTCGCAGTGAGTGAGGAGCTGAGACATGGAGCCCCTGGGTGCAACCATCATCGAAGGTATTGGGGATGAGGTGATGGTGGTAGCCAGCGTGTTGGTGGTCGTCCTGGCCCTGGTTACGGCCTGGCTTTCCACCTACGTGGCAGATGGCAGCAGCCAGCTTCTGGGAAGTATTGTTGCCCCGGGAGACTCCTCGGTGATCCGGCTCAGCCCCGTCGAACGGTACGTGGGGGCGTCGGGTACTGCTGAGCCTGCTGAGCCCCAGGGCCCCACTGAGAGCACGGAGGAGAAAGCCGAAGAAGAAGGTGAAGCTGCTTCTAACGCACCAGTGGTCGAGCAGGGGGGCAGCAGCAGCTCCTCTGACCCCAGCCTCGACCACCTGCTAAACATACAAGGCTTGCCTAAGAGGACATCATCTGCCCAGTCCGGCGCCCAGGAGTGCGTAGGCCAAGACAGCCAAGGAACTTCTGCAGGGAGGCACGCTGCGGAAGAGAGCGAGCCGTGCCCCGGGCTCATCAAAGTGCGCCTCAAGTTCCTCAATGACACAGAGGAGGTGGCCGTGGTGAGGCCAGAGGACACCGTGGGCATTCTCAAGAGGTAAGGCCCAGGGAGAGCCTTTGAGAGGAGGAGCCCACTTCAGGCTGAAGCACACAGATGGTCGCTTCCTACCTGTCTGTACAACAACCTGCAGTGGAGCCACTAGGCCCTGCTGCCTTTTAAGCCTATATTAATCTAATACTTTTGTAGCAGTTTGAATGATGCACTTCCTGGTTGGGAGGGTTTGCATCTAACAGTGGCCCTCAACCTTTTAGAGTAGTGGGCTGGGTGCTTGCAGCCCAGGTGCACTGCAGGTCACCACCTTGCTCTGGTAGGGGAGGGGAGTGGGGGGAGAGAGCATACTTAGGGTAGGCGGCCCCTGCCATAGGGGAGGGGAAAGAGGGAGACCAGAGAAAGCTGCAGAAAGGGATCAGCACAACACACAGCTGAGCTGAGCTGCTTGCAGCTGACTCCTCGAGCTGTTGGCTGGATTTAGTTACTTTGGTGGCTGGATCTAGCCCATGGGTCATAGGTTGAGCATTACCAGCCTAAAACTTTCAGAGTACTACAAGTGCACAGAGCTCACTACAGCAGGAGGTGATTACCTATGTCTCCTCACCATGCCTGTTTCCCAGTCTGGAAAACAGGGAAGGGGCTTGCTCAGTGTCTCAGCAAGCCACCAGCAGAGGCAGGCATAAAACCTAGGTGTCCTGAATACTGCCTAAGGACACAAGGAATAATATGGTGCAGATCACTGGTGCCCAATCCTGGTTGGCACTGTTAAATGATCTCTTTTAATGTAGTAGGGACCAACCTTTTTAGCAGGCATGCAACAAATTAGTAGGGGTGTACTGGTAGAGATTTTGGGGGCTGATACTGGTAGCTGATTTTTTATGGAGGCATATCGGCTGGTACCGATCCGATTTCTGAGATGGCTGCATCCAGCTGGTAAGTCTGTTGTGGTAGACGGGAAGGGGAATGGGGGGAGCAAATCAATGCCCCCTATGGTGAGGGAGGGAGTGGGGATGGGGTGGGTGCTGCCTGAGCAGAGCATGGGAAGGAGCCATGGCTCACCTGGGGGGGGTGTGGGGAGGGGAGGCCTTGTGGGGCTACGACTAAATTTGGGGTGGCTGCAGCCTGCACCCATAGCCTCCCTCCCAGTGCCACTGCTGCCCTCCCTGAGGGCAGCATGGCCCGGCCCCCCCACAGCCAGAAAGAGCCCGGTGTGGCCTACAGCTGCAGCCTGTCCTGTCCCGCTTCACGCAGATCTGGGGGCACATACCCCCTCCCCACCCCGTGCCCTCCTGGGGTACACACAGTGGCAGGAGTTGCTTCCCCCCTGCCCCACTCCCTCCCTCACTGCAGGGGGTGTTGATCTGCGCCCCCCCCCTTCCCTCCCCCTTCCCATCCACCACAACAGACTTACCAGCTGTACACAGCATTCCATGCTGCTGGGCTGTGCTTCTTGTTGCCTGCACGCACGCACAAGCATTTATCAGCCAAATTATTGGCCACAGCAGGCTGATTTTCCAGTATACTCAATTTTCTTTATATCGGTGCTGACCTGATATCAGACCGACGTATCAGTGCACCTCTACAAATTAGTCCTGCATTTTGCCCAATCTCCCCCATGCTGCTTGTCCCCAGTCCACTGGGGGTCTGCCTGTGCTGCTTTTGGCATGCACGTCACAGGTTGGCCATCCGTGCTCCAATATACACAACTGAGTGGCTACAGGACTTCATGGGTTGAAGTCCCTGTTACCTTCAGTGCCACCTGGGACAGGCAGAGCATGTAACTTCACTTCTCCATACGCTTTGGCTCCTCATAGGAAGTGGCTGATACTGTGTTGTAGGAGAGGAGCATTATAGGACAATAGGGGTGGAAATGACCTCACAAGTTCATCTAGGCTAGCCCCCTCACAGCAGGATCATCCCTGCCAGGTGTGTGTCCAACCTGCCTTTGAATGTTTCCAAGGATGGAGATTCCACAACTTCCTTAAGTAGCCTGTTCCAATGCCTGACCATCTTCAGAGTCTGAAAGTTCCCCCTAATCACCAGCCTAAATTTCCTCTGCTGAAGCTTGTTATCAAATACCCCTTCAGTCTTCTTTTCTCCAAGCTAAATAACCCCAGTTCTTTAAGTCTTTCCTTGTAAGTCTGGTCTCCCACAACCCTGATCACTTTTGTTGCCTTGTGCTGGACTCTTTCCAAAACTGCCCACATCTGTCTTGGTGTGTGGGGCCCAAAACTGAACATGGTATAGCAGGTGAGGTTTCATCATCCATGGTGAACAGAGCAGAAGAATCATTTCCCTTTATTTGCAAGAGAGACTCCTATAACCACAATCCAGGCTGCTGTTGGCTCTTTTTTTTGCAACAAGGGCACACTGTTGGCTCATTCAGCTTATGGTCCACTGTAACCCCCAGGTCTTCCTCTGTAGAACTGAAGTCTGGCCAGTCATTCCCCATTTTGCCTCTATGTATATGGTTATTCTGTCCCAAGTGCAGGACTTTACTTGTCCTTGTTGAATCTCATCTGAGGAGGATGTAGACTGCCCCTTGTGAGTGGTCATATTTGGACCCTTTCAGTAATGTGTCCTCTGCAGCACAGGCTGCATAGTTAAAGCAAGGTAAGCAGGCACCTCTGGCCTCTTCCCAGCCTGTCTCCACTGCAGTGAGGGCCTTGCGTCCCAAGCATCTCTGACCCTCTGCCTTTCTCTTTCTCTCTCCCTCTCTCTCCTCAAAAAGTAAATATTTTCCAGGCCAAGAGAATCAGATGAAGTTTATTTACCAGGGCCAGTTACTCCAGGACCAGGCACGGACCCTCCGCTCCCTCAATATTGTGGACAACTGTGTCATCCACTGCCACCTCTCGCAAACCACTGCCTCCAGCCTCCCCGATGCAGCAGGCACCCCACCAGAGACTGGGGGCATCACTGTGAATGTCGGCAACCTGATGATACCAATCTTTGTGGTGATGCTGGCTGTGATCTGGTACTTCCGCATCAATTACCGTCAGTTCTTCACAGCCCCAGCCACAGTCTCCTTGGTTGGGGTGACTGTGTTCTTCAGCTTCCTGGTGTTTGGGATGTACGGACGATAAGGGGGCAACTTCCCCTTCTCCAGTTGTCCCTTTAACTGGAACCCAGCACTTGTTTTATAGCTTCCATTTTAAATGCGCCATGACAAATGGTGCAATGGAAACTGGTAGCCAGGAGCCAGAGAAACCATGTGCCCTTCTGGAGGACACAGCCTGTGCCCATGCACAGTGGAAGAGAGGCCTCTGGTTGGTTTCCTCATCTTGCTGCTGCTTCATGAGACTTGTCCCCTCTGTGGAAAGGGACAGCTGTGCCAGGTGCTGCTTCCACTCTGGCTTGCTTAGTTTTACCATGAGACTAATCACTCCCTAGCCAAAGGCCTCCCCTGCTAAGGAAATGCAGCCGTTCCTCTCAGGCAGAGGGGAGGGAGGGAACTGACCTTCCTGCTCCCTTCAGCACATGCATTCTGAGTGAGCCTCAGCTGTATGAAGGAGTCCTGCAAAGAGCTGCATCCTAGCTTGGCAGATTGCATTTGGTTGAGGCCTTTTGCTTCCCTCTAGTACGCAGGCCTTGGTAGAACCCAGCTACTCTAGGTTTGCATGCTCAGGCTTGTGCTAGTGGGCTGTAGACCATGCTCCCCTCAGTGCAACATATAGAGCAAACACAGCATGCTCTGCACAGAAGGGACCCTGGCTGGTGCCTCTCTCCTGTCAATTCCTGCCTCCCTCTCCCATGCCAAGATTAGCTACAGTTCTTGCTCACCCAGTACCATAGTGCAAGTTCTGAAGTGCTGGCAGGTTCCCACTGCTGCTGACATGTAGCAGCTCTCTACTTCCCAGCCTTCACTTGCTATTCACTAGGCCCAGTACTCCTGCTTCTCAAGACCAAACTGACTGTCTGGCACCTTATCAAGCAGGGAAGAGACTTTTTAAAAGGACTTTCTTTCTTTTTTTAAAAATAAATAAAAGATTGCAACTTATGCTGAGGTCTTTTGGGCTCTGCCCAGTAGAGCTGGTCTCTTTGTGCTTAAGACCATTTGGTGACACGCATTTTAACTTTTTGTAGCCCGTTTCCTATGAACACATTGAAAGACAAGGCTGGACTGGACCTTGTTTAAAAAATGAAGTCATGAATGTGTGGGGAAGGGATGTGGTTTGTTTGATGTTCCTGCAGTGTTTGAGCCACTTTATGTTCTATCCCCTCTTCCCTACTCGAGTTGGAAGGCACTGCTGTTGAAAGCAACAGTTCCTTCCCTTTAGAGGGGTAGAGTGCTTATACTAACATGGCTTGTTCCATTTCTTGAACTAGATTAAGCAGTGCTATTATAAGCCAGCTTTACACCTACCTCCATTCCTTATACAGTCCTTCAGAGACTGAAAGCTTCTGTGACCAAAACCACGGCACTGGCTTCAGCCTCAAGTCACCGCCCTACCCTCTGCTTCCTTTTGGCTCAGAAGGGAGTAGGTGCCCTCTGTTGTAGATGATGTCATTAAAAGAGGCTCAGATACCAAGTCAAGATGCATTTTTATTTACAGGGGCAGCCACAATCCACTAATAGGCATACACAGCTCTTACAAAGTTGGAACTACCTGTACAGAATGGATTACATATGCAAAAATAAACATTTCAAGACCACGCAGTACAGTACTTACCCCACCTTCCCCATGTGAGCACTGCCTGCGCCAGGGCCTCCCGTGGCCACACTGACATGAACACGCAGGGAAGTCACACGGGGGCAGCTTTTACATTATTACACATTAAAACCCTCTGGAGAGTGGTATCATGATAGGATGCAGGGTTTCAAGTGAAGCAGGCCTACCTTTAAAATAAGAGGAGGAATGTGGAGCCTGTGATTAGAAACAAAACAGCCTTGAGGATTTTCTCCAAGGCTGCACTGAAAACAAATGCGTCTCTGCCTCTCAGAGTCACACGGTAGCAGTCTTCAGCAACAGGTGGGGTAGTTCAGCTAGTGCTAGCTTGCATTTTTTAGCTCCCAGGCCTGGCTTGGCAAGTTCTCTCATACCTCTATGCTTAGGGATTGAAGCACTGTACGCCTCTGACTGGACACTGCTAGGTGGTGGTGGATGGATCCTGCTTAGAACTAGTTGAGCTAGCTTTGTCCTTGAAGGATTGCAGTCCCATTGACAATCCAGCCCTTCTGGAGGTTGTGTGAATAAGTGCAAGAGGAAGTTGGACCCCCTGCCTCTTAACAACTCATTCTCTTCTTAGGTAACAAGCAGTTTAAGCTTAGAGGAAAAAGCTTTCTTTGCCTTGTTTCCAGACAACACTGCTTATATATATTTTTAAAGACAAGGTTCCTTCAGTCTGGTCACTGCCACCTCCAACAAATCTGATCTAGATCTAATCAGCATGCAAGACCAAGCCAGACCTAGGCCCTTGCAATTAAAGTTGCTGCTTCTCTCAACAAGCCTAGAGACCATGTTCCCAGTCTCTGCATCCTATAAAACATCCATGCAACAGGACAGACTGAGGCATCTAGCAAGGAAGCCAAGCCACATTCAGGGTTTTCCCATGGTCAAGCACTAAGGCTGGCTGGCACTTTGCTTGGCTCCTTTGGGAACAGCAGGAGTGGAGGGAGACTGCAGCTGCACTCTTCAGGCTTGCTGGAAAGATAACAGAGGAGCATGGTTGAGCTAAAACAGACAGTTGTACACCAAGGGTAGCTGCACAGGCTTATTTAGGAAGGGGCAAAGCAGAAAGTGAACCAAGTTATGAGCTTAGAGCAATGCAGAAGTGCAAATTGCTTCCCAGCTCCAGGGGGCCAGGGCAGAGGAAGAGCATTAGCAGTGCTGTCCCAGCAGCCAAGCAGCCTGGGTGAGCATAAGCACAGCCTTCTGCTGGCACTCAGCAGTCTTCCCACCAGTTAGCAGCAGTCAGAAAGTTAATCTACAATTCAAGAGCACCATGATTCCTAACCTAAATTAAAAACCCAACTTGCACCCCTGACCCCCAAAAGCCAGTGTCAACCAGTGCCACCTCCTTCCCACAAGAGCCACAGCTTCCCCCTTCCTGCCCACCCCACAAGTAGCCTCATTCCCTATGGCAGGGCCGTAAGCAGCACTCCTCCCTCCCCCGCTCCTGCTTCCAGGCCTCAACCAGCTCTTCCTATGGGTGCTGACTGCATGCACTGCCCTTCCAATGAGGCTGCAGGCTCTCTGGCCAGCTGGGGATCAGGTCATGCTTGCCTGCCACTCCCTGAGGTTTATAAACCCTTTTAGGGTTCTGGCTATTACTGCCTCACTGCAATCAGTTTGCCAGTCCCTCTCACTGGCTGCTGGGAATTGCTACCATTAACAACTGAGCAGCACCTGCTTTGAGAATGAGTTGGGGAGAGCCCAGGATTTCTCTAAGGCAACATGGGAGAAGCAGGAGCCAGGCCCTTCCTCCCTCCGCAGCTCTGCTTGCTGCAGTGGCAGGCAGCTCTGGGCCAGGAAAAAGCCTGGAAGGTGTGTGAATACTGTAGCCACAGCAGGCAGAGCACCCAACTGGATCCAAGGCACCACCCTGTGCCAGCCACACACTTCCTGTCAGAGCTGCCTCCTTCCACCCCAAAAGGAGCACCCTGGCCCTGCTCTTTGTGGTCTGGATACAGCTGGCTTAGCTCGCTCAGCATGATCCTAGCAGCCCACTTGGTAGGTGGGGCAAGGGAGCAGCCCCCTATTCCTCCTGGGCTCCCAATGCACTGCTGACACAATCCAGCTGTCCCATCTTGCCAAGACCCTTGGCGACCAAAAGTCGCCTTCAATACAGAAGAGTAAACCTATGCATGATCCCGCAGGATGGGGCCAGGCCTAGGGAAGGGAGTGGGGGCAGAACCATGTTCTACCTTGTTAGCATCATGTAAAATGATGGCAGACAAGTTAGCACGATACAAACCAGACCTTCAGAGGGACAGGGGATTCTGGGATTGCAGGCATGGAATTGTGGAAGCAAAGCTAAAAGATCTGGACCATTGCACGTCCTTATCACCAACACCCTAAGTCTCAGAAACCAAGTTGCTTTGGCTACCCCCACTCAGGTACCACATCATCGTGTGGTAGAAAGGGCAAGGAGGGAAGAGATTGAGAGAGATGGGAGTCTGGGATGGGGTTCCCCACGGATTTGATCTGGGGGGATGGGGGACATGCACAGGTGGGAACTCAAAACGGAGGAAGAGCTCCAGCAAAAGCAACCACTTGGCATCTTGCATATGGCAACTGGTGCCCCCCTGGGGGAGATAAGCAGCAAAACAGAGCCCAGGGGATGAGGTCAGACCTGCCAGAGACACATGGGGAGTTGAGGCAGCTCTGAGTTCCAGCTTGGCCCAAGTGTCCCAGGCAGGGGAATGGGCCTGCCCCAAAAAGCAGGGGTGGCTGAAGAACACCTGGGGGGGATGCAAGGGGGATGGGATGTGTGTGGTAGTTCAGGCCAGCCCAAGCTACTTGACCTAAGGAGGTGTTTGCTCAACCCTCCCAGGAGCCTGGGTATATGCTTTTGAAGTGCCCCATGGTGAAACACATCTCCCCCACAGCAAGCCATAGGGCAGAAGCCTCTCACCCTGCCAGGATTGTCCACTACCCCCTGTGGATCCCAGCATCTCCCAAGGGCCCTGAGCTTGCTGGTGGGGAGGAGAGAATGGGTAGATAGCAGCTTCCCTGCCCCACCTCTGAGCACCTGAGCAGGACCTCTGGAATCTCAGAGCCATACACAAGGGCAGGCAGCACCTACTACCATCCTGAAGGATGCTTGCAGCAAGCATCACAACCCCCCATTCCCTCACACACACCAGTCCCACAGAACAGGGCACCATGGACCGGATCCCTTGGCCAGTGGGCGCACCAGGAGGCAGTGGGCAGCCAGTCCAGGGAATTCTGCACCCAGCGGTACCAAAACAAACCCACAGCAGGTTCACGGACAAAGCAGCAGCACCAGCAGGTACCATGATGAGAGCCACGAGGGGAGCTGCAGGAAGGGGAGGTGCTGGACACAGATGAGCCAGCCACATCTTATTGCAGCCCCCAGCCTGCACTCTCAGCATGATGGAAGAGAATGGGCAAGCCCTCAGAGCCAACACCCAGACTCCCCAAGGATGGCATCCTCCCCTCCCAGCTGGCGGAGGAAAGGCTGGGGGGGGGGCGGTGGCGCAGCCCTGGGGTCCAGTGCAGGGGCCTGCCTCCCCACATCCTGGCCCTTTCAGCAAGGGCAGGCACAAGGCTGTCCAGCAGGGCCTGCCCCAGCCTCTGCATCCATGCCTTGCTCCGACGGTTGGGGCATCATCCACTCACCCCGTTCCCTGATGAACGGTCTCTAGTGTTGCTTAGCAGCAGGCGCCACCTTACAGTCATGATTGGTCAGCCAGTAAAATCACAGAATAAATAGAGGTGCAAGGGGGTGGCAGGGGGCACTCCAGCCTGGCTTCCCCCCACTCTCCCCACAGGCAGCAAAGTTCTCCAGCTCCACAGTGCCTCCTCTTAGGCTGCCGAGGGCAGTCCAGCTCCCAGTGCTGCCCCCTACAGATAGGGCAGGGTGACAGCATGCTCCAGTAACTGGCAAGTGTGCCAGTGGGGGTACAAGGTGCCTGCCTGGATTCCCCCAGGGCACGACCAGAGTCCAGACGATCAGGGGTGAGGAGGGAAGGCAGGTCAGGCCTTGTAGGTGCCACGGCAGCTGCTGTCCCTGCAGCCCCTCAGTTGATATCATCATAGATGCTGGGCGTGGGGGGTGCAGGTGGCTTAGGCTTCTTCTTCTTGCTGGAGCTTATCCCCGGCGTACCACCCACTAGGCTCATGTGCGGCTTCTTCTTTTTGGTCTTGCGGGACTCCGAGTTGTTCGTGCCTGCGCCGTGGGAAAACAGGGCACATCAGCGAGACCTGCAGACCCAGCTGCCCAGAGCGGACCCCAGAGCAGCAAAGGGGAGGAAGCACACCCATACTAGCAAACCCAGGTCAGAGGTGGGAATCTGGTCCTGCTAGAGCTCCTTACAGAGCCATCCAGTCCCCTGACCACAACTACCACCCTCTGCCCCCACAAAGGGGTTTGGTGCAGTCTCCTTGGTGGGAAGTCTCTTGCCCCCTCTGCAGGGCAACCAAGGGAAGAGTGTGAGGGGAACTATTGCCCAGCCCCTGCCCAAGGCACCATGGGACTGGGAACCCCCACTGCCAGTTCCTCAGTGGACTTTGCCCCTTGAACTCCAATAGCACAGAACAGGTCCCACTTGCCCCTCTTCACTCATTAGCACACTCTCCCTCTCCATCCTCCAACAAACCCACCCACCCGCTAGCACTTACTGGCTTTGGATGAGGCTGAGTCCGAGGGCGAGATGTCAGAGGAACCATCCCACTGCAGCCGGCTCATGATGGCCTGGCTCTCCGCCACCTCAAAGCTGTCATTCTCCACGCTGCCCTCTGCCTCTGGGAGTGAGCTGGGGAAGGAGCACATGGGACCCGAGTTATGGAGGCTGCATACAACACCCTCCCCGCCGATAACTGCAGGCAGACATGTGGGCTCTGACCTGGATCCAGACAGGGTGATAGGAACAGGGGACCCTTGAGGAACCAAGGTCATAATCAGGTGGTGCAGCAATTTCTCAGGTCACAAACCTGTGCTGCTCTTCAGTTCCTGCCACCAAGGGGAGGTTAGTCGTCCAAGGTGGGAGCATAAGGGAGGGGGCAACCTAAGCCTGTTCTGGCCTTTCACTGGTATCAAAAGCAGGGGGTGCTTTGGGTCAGAGCTCTTTGCAGAGAGCTGCCTGTGCATGTGTACCTGTGCATGTGTACCTCCTGCAGAAACAGTGCTGCAGGGAGAGGCCTCCAGCACCACAAGGCCTCAAGGTGACTGCAGTCATGGGCTGGGGAAGTATCCACAGAGCTGCACAGCTTCTTCCCCTCACTTGAGCTCTGGCTTGCTGCTCCCTGGATCCCCACTCCTAAAGTCCCACTTGTCTCCTCCCTGCTCTCCCTGATCCCCTATTCACCCTCCTCAGACAATGTGATGTCAGGCAAATCCATGTTCTGTGGTTTTCCCTTGTATTGCTAGATCTGGCACTGGACACTGACTGGTCTGCTCAGGGCACCAGGGCACTGGGGAGCAGCTGCACCCTGCCTTTCACAGTGGGGAGCCAGCCAGCCCTCAGTAAGCTCCATGCCACAGCACACCCACTGGACCCCAGAGCATGCCAGGCCCAGAGGCACTGGGCAAGAGCTTCTGCCTCCAGAGTGGATACTGCTCGGCTTCTCACACTTACGCAGAGGGTCCCAGGAGGTAGACCCTGACTGACCTCCGCTGCTCATCCGTGTGCTGGGGGCAACGCAGGGACCTGCAGGGAGTGGACATAGCAGTTCAGAGCCCTGGAGTGCATGGCGGGCTTTGCATTTCCCCTGCACCTTCCACCTCCTAGTCCCCCCAACCCAGCACCACAAAGCCTGTGCCCCACAATTCCCCCCGGCTGATGGAGCGTTGGGTAGAGGCACCTCCCTACTTGAAGGAAGGCAGCCAGACATGGCAGGGACAGTGCCTGGGGCACACAGGAGGCAGTCCTGGTCTGCTGCTTGCCTTTCCTGGCCCAGCCCAACCTGCCCAGCACAGGGAGCTCTCACCTGGTACACATCTTCTTGGTGTGTTCAGAGATGACCCCACATTGCTAAGGAGAGAGCAGATGAGGCAAATGAGCACAAGAATGTGCCAACATACCCATGCAGGGGTAGAGGTTGTGCCCACATCACGGGAGGGTTCCCACCCTGCCACCATGGGTCTTGTTAGCTGGCATAGGGCCGCTAGGGCCCTTGGTTGGATTTAGCACAGCACTATGAAAAACAGGCTCATGGGGGCAAACAGGAAGCTCTTTTACAGCATAGCTGTATACAGCACAGATAGCGGTCCAGGCCACCTGGCTGCTACAGCATTTAAGCTCCTGAGCCCTTCAGGATGGCTAGAAAGCTCCTGCCCATGACCTGACAGTGCCATCTACTCAGGCTGCAGTGCAGCAGGGCAGCTTCCATGTGAAGCCAACTGGTTTGCAGCTGCTAGGGAAGGTCAGGGGTATTAGAAGCAGGAAGCAGCACCAGAGCCTTGTGAAGGCAGCGGGGCAAGACTGAGGAACAGCAGAGACGCCCTCTCCCCCTGCACCCCCAAGCCAGGCCTCCAAGCAGCTGCCTTGGCGGCTGCAAGTTCTCTAGATGCTTGCTAGCAAGAGGCCGATGGACAAGGCAAGAAGCTCAACCATCAGATTCCAGAAAGGGCCCTCCTGGGTTACCGTGTCCAGCTGCTACTGTCGAAGCAGCAGCTCAGAGCAACCCCTCCACAAACTGACAGGCCTCCATCCTAAAGGTCATCAAGTTAACCTGCTGCACAGCTTTGACCGGGAGGCTGCAAAAAAGCCTCCCTGCATTGCTGGTTATGCTGCCAACTGTGCAGCTAGAGCTGGCTGCAGCCACATCACCCTACACCTTCTGCCACCCCTCTCTTCAGTTTATCCAGCTGGTGTCCCTCTGTGTGCTTATGGACAGGGCTTAGAGCCCTCCACTTTCATCCTGCTAAGCCAAACCAGCCCAGCTCTTCTCACCTCTCCTAGTAGTGTCTTGCTCAGCACTTGAGCCAGCTAGAGCTCATCTCCTTTGAACTGGGGGGGCTGGAACTGCACACACAGGATATACTCTCACTAGCACCGTGTGTAACAGCACAAAGATTTCCCACCTCTGCTGGAAATGCCTGCCATGATACATCTGTAGGTCCAAATCTGATTTTTCATGGCTGCACCACAAGCACCTCACAGTCACCTTGTGACCAATTAGTGCACCTGGGTTCTCCTCCCACCCTACCCTAGGGGCTCCCAGCTCAGACCAGGAATAAAACACAACGACCCCATGCAGGACCCTGCATTCTGCAATGCTCAGCTTCACCCCCTCCCATCCTTATAGTCCTCTGGTCCTTCCCATGCAATATCCTGATTGTCCTGTTCATGGACAATGCCACCCAACTTGGCACTATCAGCCTGCTTTCACTTCTCACACCTTGTCCCTAGAGGAGCTCTACTGGTGACCTCCCTCCAGTCTCACCCTTCCCCCTCTACCACCACTGACAGACACATCCCCAAGAGCCAGTGCTTACCCCCCTACTCTTCTTCTACACCACTGACTTCCCACATGCTCTGCACCAGGTGCTGTACTGAAGGAAGGTCCCTGGTAAGAAGCTCTTGGGGAAGGGGTGCTGGACTTTCCATTAAGCACCAGGCTTACACACTGTTTGGGGTCACTTATACCCTGGTACAGGGGGCGGCCACATTTTGCTGTTCTGGGCCAGAGTTTGCAACTCAGCCCCCTGTTGTAGGTTACAAATCTGCATCCCTGGTCCATTCGCTTGTGCTTCCCTTGCAGCAAGGTACAAGACGGTAGCAGGGAAGGCCGCTGAGGCGGATGGTGCAGAGGGCATGGGTGCGTCAGTGCTCAATTACCCATGCCACTCTGAGCCAGGTTGGACTTTCCCAGGCCAGATTTAACTTCTTTGTGGGTCATGTCTGGCCTGCAAGCTATAGATTGCTGACCTCTGCCCTAGTAGGTATCACTCACTGCCCCTCTAAGAAGCACCCCTCACCTGAGGTCCCACAGCTGAGGGAGCATATTGCTCCCAGAAGGGCACTCTAGTGTAGTCCCAGCCCCAACACTGGGCACTTACACAGCAGTGTGCAGATAGGCTAAGAGGACATGAAGGGAAAAAACAACTAATAACCAGGCTAAGCAAGTCAGCATCCAAGCTAGAAAGAACCAAGGAGTCCTGGCCCCCAGCCCCAGGCACCAAGCGTGATTTTCCCTTCCTGTACTAGCAAGGTGCAGGAGATGCAATTCCCCTCCCCCACTAGCTGGGCTCTGCCCCAGGCAGGCACTCACCGTGGTAAGCAGGGTGCGTAGCTCCTCAGGGCCCAGCGTCTCGTAGCTGATTCCAGAGGAGTTGCTGTACTACAGGGAGACAGGAGGGCGGCATTAGGGCTAGGGATGGGCTGCGGGGTGGCAGGCCTAAGCTATTTCCAAGATGGGGTGGGCAGGGGGATGATTACATTTCTATTGCAGTGGCCAGCCTTGGTCAGCCCCCCACCACCCCCAGCACACATTGTGAGGAGGCAGCCCCTGCTGCAGAGCTCCCAGCTGAAAAAGAAACAACAGAGAGTAACTGGTCCAAGGTCATGCTGCACATCAGTGGCAGAGGCAGGGAGAGACACCAGGCAGCGTCTTACCCCTTGACCCAAGCTGTCCCCGACACAGGCCTGGTCACACTCACCTTGAACGGATCTGAGTTTGCACCAAGCTCCCCTGAAAGAGAGGATAAGTAGGTGTTATGTTGGGCACCAGAAGCCTCTCTCCTGGCCTCTGCTGCAGAGCTGCTGCTCCTAGTACTGCCCTGCACCTGGGCACAGCCACACAGAAGGCACAGCCCCTGCCCCAGAGCCCTGTGAAGGCAGCAGGGCAAGGCACTGGGAAACTCCTGACCCTTCTTCTTTTATAAGAGAATTCAATTGGCACCTGTTGGGAGTCCCCTGCCCTGGGATGAGCTGGGGATGCCTCAGCACTGCCAACAGTCTATGGTTGCACCATCCCATTGCAACCCTGTCAGCCACAGCTCCAAGCCTTGCCCAAAGGGAGCCCCAGAGCCTGAGGACCAGTAGGGGCAGGGTAAACACAGGGTGGGGGAGGATCTGCAGTGCCAGGGTGCTGGAGCTCTGAGGTGCCAGGTAGTAGCTCACCTCCTCCAAGAACTAAGGACCAGAAACTGGGCAACAAGGCTGGAGGAGCAGGAGGGCTAGCCATGCCATATCCAACTGCCTGCTGACTCCCTGCATCTCTTCCCTGGAGCATCTGTGCAAGATAAAGCAGTCCCTGGGGCCAGAGATTGCTGCATACATGCTCTCCCCAGTGCTGCAAGCCTGGGGCTGCTGCTGGGTTGGGTAGCTACCTGGGTAAAGCCCAGTGGCAGTGCCACCCCCACCAGGCCTGTCTTATAGCAAGGAGGGCGCTCCACTCTGGTAAAGGGATACCCAGCTTCCCCTGGATTCATAGCCCCGCCCTCTCCCAGGCTGCCCCACCCCTTCAGTGGGACCATGTCCCCTCACCACTGACCGTTTTTGTGTTTCAAGGACTTGGATCGCCGGGGCGAGTTGGGATTCTGGAACGAGACAGACAGACACGCTGGGAAAGGGTATCCTTCCCTCCCCTGCACCAGCCCAGGACTGGAGCGGCCAGTAAGCATAACCTCCTATGCTCAGTCTGATGTGGCTGCTGAGGGAAGCAAGGGCCACACTGCGGGCACAGCCCTGGGTGCTGTAACTTCACCCATCATGTTCCCCTCCACACTAGCTGTGTGAGGGAACGCGCTGGCACCAGAGACCAGCACAGACAAGGAACAGAAGCTAGTAGGGCCCTAGGACACCCCCAGCAGGCACATGCTTCCCTACCCCCACCCAGAATTGCCATGGCTTCCACCTTCTCCACCAGCTAGGGGAATGAGGGCTGGGAACCACCACCCAACAGCCTCCAGGAACCTTCTCTCTACCTTTTCTCCATGTGCTCTCCATCCTCAACCCCTGCCAACAGAACAGATGCAGCCTGGGGGTCTCTCACAGAGTCACTGAGTTCAATGTGCTGCCCCTGGGAAGGCCCTATGGAGACACCCCACTGGGCACCACAGCAGCAAGCTCCAAGGTAGGATGCATGGAACATCTTGCTCCTCAATCCACAGCCACTGGTGGGGTCACAGGGCAGACAAGTCTCTGCCAGCGGAGGGGAAGCCTGCTCCTAGCAGCCTACTGCAGGGGACCCTCTGTAGGGGCATGTTTATCCAAGCAGGTCCTCAGTGCAGCCCTGGCTTTCCCTGCCACAGTGCCAGGCTGCTCAGATAGTGGACCCCAGAGATGACTGCATTTTGTCTGGACTGCTGAGTAACTGGGGTCCTGTAGCACCCTGATACCCCTGGCTGCCCCTCACCCCAAAATTCCTTACTCCCTGCAGCAGCGATCATGCAGTCCTTACCTTATCGGATTTTCTCTTCTTTGCTAAGGAGAGAGGGGAAGGAATCATATTAGCCTCAAGAGCAGGGCTGGAAGGTCCAAGCCCCCCCCACGGCTGGGCAGCCCCTAGGAAGGGTGCTGCAGGGAGAGGAATCACTTCCAGGGTGCTACAAGGCTCAGGCCGTGCATAGTGAACAGGGAGGTTATAGCCCCCAAGAATGAGTGGGAACCAGGGTTGGGCCATCAGACACTCCCAGATGCCTCGATTTAACCCTCTGGCTGCCATTATTCTCTGAGTGGCTCAGGGGTATTCGGCAGCTTCAAGCCATGGACTCTCCTTCCAGGTACTGCCAGCTTCTACACTGCCAGCAGGCTCAGTGGTTGAGCAAGGATGCTCAAGCAACCAGCAGAGAGAGGCTGTGATGCTAGGGACAGACTGCAGAGCCGGGGTCGGGGTGGGGAGGACACACAGATGATTTCTTGGCATGTTTCTTTAGCCATTCCCAGCCTTCTGTGGCAATGCAGGACAGGCTAGAGGTTGGGACAGTGAGACATTCATCTGTGCCTGGGGCCTGCCCAGATGCCTCAGGCCCTTTCCAGAAAGGCTGGACTGCACCACTCTTCTGAACACTGCAGACACAGGCAGGGTCCAGCCAGGCTCACAGAAAGTTTGCCAGGCCCGAGCTCTGTCCCCTCCCACATGCCCCGATCAGAACCAAAGGACTGTGCATCATGGCCCAGAAGGCACCTACAAGACCTCCATACTCCAACTGTCACTATGGGGGTGAGGGATGGAGGTGGGGATGGGTCTGGCCTTATCCACGTGAAGACAGTTCCAGTGAAGGATCCCCACCATCCCTGCCACCCATCCACCCCAGGGCTAAAAATGGGCAGGCACCTTCTCCCCATTCCTCCTACCTTTCTTCTCAGATCCGTAGGACCAGTCGTTATCATTAATGTCATCATTGTCCTCCTGGTCGCTCTCCGACTTGTTCATGTTGTTGCTGCTGGCTATCCTGTGGGGAGCAGGCACCCGGCTGCTCACGGCACCATATGGGGGGGTGAGTGTCTCCCCTGCACCTGCCCTTGTATACACCCTCCCCCCCGCCCCGAGGCATGAAACCACCCACCTGCCCCACAAGGACAGACAGACAAACCACTACAAGACAGAGGGCTCACATGAGACAAGTACCCTGCTTTAGGTGGGCTATAGGCAGGCATGGGTCTCCTCCTCCCAGTCTTAGGGAGGGAGGCCCACTACCTCAACTGCCCACCTACAGTAGAGAAGACAATGCTTAAACAAGCGTGAAGACGTTAACAGCAACTAGGGAAAGCAGGACTTGGGACATCTTGGTTCTGTTCTAGACTCTGAGGAGGGCAACTCACAGGCAGAGGCAGGACTGGCAGTCACAACTCCTCCATCCTGTTCCCAATGGTGGGAGGGGAGTGTAGTCCAGCAAGTGAAAACAGGGAGAGAATTAGGATGCCTGGGTTCCTGTCCCAGTGGAGAGAAGGGCATGCCTGAATTGGGACTTCCGGGTTTTACACCCAGGTCTGTCACAGAACAGCTGTGCCCTTGGCTATGAGCCTCAGAGTTGTTTTGAATAAAGAAACAAAAGGATTTTTTAAACCTAAATTGGATTTTTGATCCTATATATAGATATATAATCTTATACATGACAATAGTATATTATATATAGATATAAACCCTTTTAAAAATGAAATCTGAATGGAAAGCAAGCTATACAAGGCCTACTTATGTTGATGATGTTGGTGGTGGCAGTGGTGATCTCTCCAAAAATGTAAAAGAAAACCTTCTTCTGTAGGGTCCAGGAGGCTTTCCCCAGACCTCTGTTATAGGCTACCCACCTAGTGACTGTGATCAGTGTGCTAAACACAGATTAACTAAAAATCAATACACCCCAAGGAGCTTTGCTGTGGGGAGGGGATGAGAAAGAGAGAATGGGGGTTGGGAAAGGGCGATGTGTTTGCAGTGGGCTTCGTGTGCCAGGGCTGGGTGGGTCCCATGACCTGGCTGCCAGCCCAAGGCAATGGAGAGTGCCCCTCCCCCCAGGCGCCCACCTCCTGTTAGCGATCCTGCTGCTGTTGCGGCCCATGCCCAGGCACTTCTCCAGATGGGGAGCAAAACGGGAGGCAGCGATGCTGCGACTGCAGTTGGGGCACACACACTCCTTATTCTTCCACTGGTTGTACACCTGGCCGAAGATGTCCACGCCAGGCTGGTCCACAATTTCTAGGGAGGGAGGAACCAGCATTATGCCTCCACTGGCACCATGGAGCAAAAGCAGGTTGGGGTGGGAGACCAGAAGCTCCTGCAATCACACTCTAGATCTCACACTTGGCACTGAGAGGCTCTACAACAGGGGTGAGCAATTATTTTGGGTGGAGGGCCGCTTACTGAGTTTTGGCAAGCCATCGAGGGCCGCATGACAGGCAGCCAGGGGCAGATAAATATTAACTTTCTACATTTTTAGGGGCCCTGCAGGATGGATAGAATAGTTTGGCGGGCCACATCCGGCCCATGGGCCGCATTTTGTCCACCCCTGCTCTACAAGACCCCAAGCTGCAGCTGCCAGGTGTCACATGGGACCAGAGTGAGATGCTGAAAAGGTGCTCTAAGTCCCATGGGCAGCCCCTTCCCAGAGCATGTTTGCTTTCTCTGCCCAGCAGGGTTGCCAGATACACTTAGGATCAGAGAATCCCACCTCTGTCTCCAACCACACACAACCATCTCTTTGCCTCTTTCCTCAAGACCAAAGTCAGGGACCTAAAACAGGAGCCGAGCAAACAGCACCACTTCTACTCCCTGCTCTACCACCCACTTGCTGCAGAACCCGTGCATATCCCATCTCCTTCCTGGGCCTCTGCTTCCAGCCCCAGTAGTCCAGACAAACAGTTGAGAGGGAGACTGTAAAACCTTCTGCAAGGACATGCAGCACCCAGCATGCCATTGGATACTGTAGAGAAATCCAGCCCTTTAAGGAAATTGGAACTCAGCTACACCTCTACCAAGCTTCATCCACTCCTCAGATGAAGGGATGAGCACAGGTGTCACTGTGTGTAATGGGGGTACACAAACAAGAGACAGGGTTGTGGAAGGATGGGGCTGAGAAACCATTATCAAGCATTAGTCAGAGTTGGGGCATGCTGGTCTGACACTGCAGTGATAATTGTAACTCCCAGAAAGAGGAAGGTGAGAGTGTTCCGGCAATGCAAAGTTCAGGGAAAGGAACTGAGGCAGAAGCAAGTTGCAGAGCCAGGCAAAACAATTGCCTCTGCTCAGGCAGGGCCTCCCCGGCAATCCAAACAGGCCGCAGCAGTGGTGAGGCCGAGTCAATGCCAGGAGTGGCCACAGGGCCACATAGTGTTGTAACAGTGTCAGCAATCATGAGGCCAAGATGCAGAAGGAACAGAAAGTGCTGAGTAAAGGGCAAGTTTGTGCCGAGTCACTCTCCCTGGCTACAATGAAAAGCAGTTCTCTTCCCACCCTAACAGGCTCTGCCACAGAGCTGGTCCCCAAGCAGCCCAGCCTGTAGACCCAGAGAGACACCCACAGTCCTGCCGCTGGATGGCCAGGATGCGCTTTTCAGCCCCAGCATGCCCATAATGGCTCCCAACCAGCCATGCCCATGCCCTTCCCATTCCAGCCTTTCTCCTTCCTGCCTAAAGGGTCTATTCAGTGGATGAGGCTTTCCCCCAGGCCATAGGTGCTTACAGCTGTTTCTGTTCCTTGAACTGCAAATGGACAAACCGTGGGCACAGGCCCTCAGACTTGGCAGCAAGGTCCAAATAATGTTTTATATTCCTCATTAGGAGTTAAGTGTGGGATGGGACCTCTGGGACCATCAAGCCCAGGCCCTGTGCTCACAGGTGATCCTTAACTCAAGGAATCCTCACCATCACCACTTCAACCCCACCAACCCCTTCCTTTACACTCCTACCAGGCACAACACTCAAAACACCACTGCCACCCTCCAACATGGCACAGGCAAGAGCCAGGGAGATGGGGGCATTTGCCAATGCCTACCACTGCAGCAACAGAGAAGGAACTGGTTAACAAATGCTCAAAAGATCCCAGACAAAGGACCCTACCATGCACTACAGAGGAAGGCAGAACATCCCCCCAAACCCACCCCCTCACCACCCACATGCTGCTCTGACCTGAGGGAAACATCTCCTTCCTGACTCAAGTGTGGCCATTTCTCTGAACCAGAGCAGAAAAGCAAGGCCCTCCTGCCAAGCACCTTGGGGTTTCCCAAGTGTGTGCAGGAACACCAGCAGCCCATGCCCCCCTCCAGGCAAGGAAAAAAGTCTCATGGACATAGGTCAGCACTTCTCAGAGAGACTTCAGTCCCACTGGAGCTGCAGAGCAAGAGCCAATGTGAAAGGGAATTAAAGCCCCTCATGTGCATCACTGCAACAGACTGCTTTTAGAAGGTGACTCCCCTGAGCCTAGTTTGACAGCATGAACTTCCTGCTCCTGCAGGAAAGCCCCAAAATTTCTTGCTGCCCCAGCTGCATCACTGCCTAACAGGGCCGCCGTGCAAAAAGCACCGGGGTAGGACATGAGCTGGCATCTCTGACCGCCAGCCATGTTTGGCCTCCCTGCAGATCACCATGCATCTCAAACTGAAAAGGGAGACCCAGCCTGAGCCACAAACCACTTACACGGGTGAGAGCCATGCTCTGAAAACCACTGCTTTCTAGAAACCTGCTTAAGCAGAGAACCTTTTGCCAAAGATTTGTACTTCACATAGCTCCAAAATAACACTGCTGATTCCCCCAAGGCCTGGTGGGGCCATCCATGTCATGCACTGGTGTAACCTGAGCACTGAGGAACTATAGGAAGCAGGCAGAATTGGTCTCATCAGTCCAGGTACCAGCATACAGTGATGCTGCTTAGAAATGGGGGTGGAGGTGCTTTGTGCTGGGACAGCTGGTTGGCTTCCCAACCTGGAACAAGCTAAGCTGGTACACAAAGTACCTAGATGCCAGAAGAACCAGCCCACGCAAGGGGCAGCTGCCACTGCACCTGCACAGCAGTGGTACCTTTGTGCCTGGGGAGGTCTCCCAGGTTGGGTTTACATGCCAGCTCTCTGCCGGGGCAGACAGGTGCAAGGAGGGGGCTCCTTGATAGCTGCTTCACAGATATGCAGCCCTAACAGCAAACTGCCCAGTGGTCAATACAGCTGCCTGACTTGTGAGGAGCCACTGGCACAGGGCATGGCTCTGCTACACCAGCTTCCCCCAGATGACCTGCACCAATGCAATGCATCCAGCAGAGACCTGACCTCAAGGCCCCCTAGGGAGAACCACCAAGAGTAAAACCCCACTCACCAAGGTAAGCCCTTCTGCTGCAGGATGGAGGGAACAGGGCCAGGTTACATTGTACCCAGCTGACCTGGCCTGTGGCAGGCAGGATGCGGTCACAATGGCCATCTGGATGAGAACAGGGTCAACTCCCTGTAGACCAGCCGCTCACTGGCCTCTTGGTCAAGCTGGCTTCCTTGCTGCCCTGGGCAGCACTAGTCTGACCAAGCCTTCCTGAAATTTCTTTCACATTGACCTCTGCAGGAGAACAACAAAACCTTCCCTCAGGTCTTTCTTAAAGAGCTTTTCAGGAAGGACCAGGCCAGGCTATCAGGAAGGAACTCAGAACACAGGATTATCCACTTTCTTCAGACAACTTTCAGGTACAGCTCTGCTGCTTTACGTCCAAGAGGAAACTCACCAAAGTCCTTCATGCTGTCAGGGTCTGTATCGTCCAGGAAAAAGTAGCCACACTTGACCGCCCGGTGCACCTCGAAACACAGCCCCAGACAGGCGTCTTCCACCAGGTCCGTGTAAATGTCATGAGCAATGGCCTGGAGCACAAGAAAACCCCAGTGCCAGTGAAGAGGGGCAAGGCTACCCCCACTCCAGTGCCCAGAATAGATGTGCCAGCACATCAACAAGATCAAAGATCCCTTTCCACCAGCAGGGGCCTGCTCTGGGAGGGGCCAACCTGCAGCACCTTGCAGGGGAGAGGTGGGGGAAAGATAAGATTGTGTTTCTTTTGAGGCCATTCCATTCTTATCAGGATGATGCTCAGAATAGCAAATGCCCCTGCAGGGCCCTAACTGATTCTCAGCAACCATCACCGCACAGTGGGTGTGATGAGCTGATTCAAGGCGACTCCTGGCAGTGGAGTTTGCTGCAGAGCAGCAAAGGGTTTGTTCTCAGGCTGCCACCCACTGCTCTAAGCATCTCTTAAAAGGCAGTAAACATGCCCCATTTAGCAGAGATCCAGCCTTGCCACCTCATGGCACTAGGGATCTTGTATGCAAGGTGTCTCAGCATCCTGCATGTTGGCCAAAAATGCCCCATTGCAAGAGCACCACCCTAACACAGCTTAGTGTGACACCATGTTTGTACCAGGATAAGAAGGGAGAGCTGCTCACAGCAGGCAGCTACTACAATGCTCCACCACTAAGTGGCAAAGACAAAAGTGAGTCTGGCTTTAGCAAGCAGATGAACAAATGCTAATAGACAGTATCTAAAACCCAGCGTGACTTACTGCACTGGAGCTTTACTCCCTCTTTCAGGGGTAATTCTGCTCTAGATGGGGTGAAATTACCCTGGTATAGGAATCGTCATAAGACTGGTGTCATCTATCGGCAACTTCTTCCCCATACCAGTGTAAACATGTCTGCCATCTGGGCCCTGCTTTGATGATTTCCTCAGCCCTTTCCCATTCCTGTCCCAGAAGACTTCACAGCACCTACTAGTGGCTATGCAGGACAGCCGACACAAGCTACACAGGTACTGCATGTGCCTTGGTCCCATGGAAATAGATTGCATTCATATCCAGCTGCAGGGGGGAAAACAGCCTTCCGCCAAGATAACCCACAGTACAGGGAGGGTCATCCTGCTTCCCCTGCGCTTTATCTCCAGCCCAGACCTTTTCCTGTCAAGGGCAAAGCAGGCAGACGGAGCTTGCCCTGGGACCGACCAGAGCACTTGCATTGCCCCACAGCCTTTTCCACCAACAGGAGTCAGCTCAGCATGGCCAAAGAAAGGTAGAGGGCTAACTACATGAGCTCACCCTCCCAGCTGCATGCCCCCATCCCTGGTAGCCTCACCCCTCCAGCTCTCCCCAGACCTATTTTAGCTGCTGCCCAAGTGAGACTGGGAACTCGTGCTCAGGCCAGCCATCCCAGGGCAGGGAGAAGCCAGCTTCTGCAGCCTGGAGGAGGCATCCCTCATTCCCCACGCACTTGTGTACCCCCAGGGGACAGCCCAAAGCCAGGCCACCTGCCCAACTACTGGTATTTCCCATGGACCAGCCCAGGACCACACAGGCAGCTACAGGACCCAAGGAGTCATGCCAGCTACCAGATCTCATCATCAACACTACCAGACACCCTCAAGAGCTCTCACTGAGCATTGTGCCCCCTGTGCCCCCTTGCAAGGGCAGCAAAGGGGCCATGGATGGTATCATAGGGGTCCACCCTCAGGGCTTCCACATCACTCCCTGGCAGGCATGGAGAGAACCATCATCTGCCACTCACTTGGCATGCCCCAGCTGGGATCCGTGAATCCCACCAGACCTCCTCCATCACCCAAAAAGATGGCATGCACACAGGGCTGCTCTAAGGCAACTGAACTGTGGGGACGGGCCCTGCCAGGGGAAGGCTACAGGCAGCTACACGGCTGAAGCCCAAGCTGGACTGGAAGCAGCTGACTCAGGGGTGGGGGCAATGTTTGAACACAGTGGAGCTGTGCTGGGGAATGGGGGAAGATTCTCTCAAGGAAACTGCCTTGGAGCCTGGCCCCAGTCTGTGCAGGCCACTCACCTCCAGTTTGCTGTTATCCAGGCCAGACAAAGACATTTCCTCCATTTTCATTTGCAAACACTAGTGGAGAAAACACTCCGAATGCACATAGCACAGGCCAGGCTGGGATCCTGCTACAACAAGAAACAGGTTAGCACCGCACTCACTTCAGACACTTGTATGAGCTCCCACTACCTGCTAGGCCAGGCTGTCAGCCCCCCCACCCTGCCAGGGAGGGCAGCACAATGCCACAGCACCCTCAGAGCCATGCTGCGTGTCACAGGAACCAAGGATCCATGACCCAGCTCCGTGCAGCCCACAAAGCTCTTTATCTCCAGTGCCAAGACCAGTCACTAGGGTACCAATTGTGCTGAACCCCAAGGGTGCACAACCCCACCTAGAGCAGAGATGAGGCTGCTGCCCCTTCCCACAGCAGGTCATCTATCATCAGGGGTCACTAGGCAGGGTCAGCTCACACGCTAGAGCCTGGAGGTGGCAGGAGAGTGATGAAGTCATGGTCTGTGATCCTGAGGTGGTTCTGTCTGGAAGCCACAGGCATCAGTGTTTGTCAATGGCTCCCCGGTCCCTAGGAGGGCCCCTTCTACACAAGAGCTGCTAAGACGACCCCACAGAACAGATCCACTCTTTGGAAGCCCTGCCCCCATCCTCAACCCATTAACAGGCATGGGAATCAGAAGCAGACACCAGGCCAGACAGAGCCAGGAGCAGAACCTGCCCCTGCTGCCAAACACTGTCCCTCCACCCTGCTGCCTGCAACACTGCCTTGCCTGCCCAATCCTTCTAGGCATCAGTAAGCAAAGTGTTTGCAAATAAAATCTGGTGGAGATGGGGGAACACAATGCCCTGCCAGCTTCAGCCAAGTCCAGCACTCTCTACACAGCACAGAATTTGTACGTGTCAACCACTAACAGTGAACATCCAACTCCACTTCTGCTCTGCAAACCTCCCTTTCTCCGGCAGAAAGAGCAGTGGTCATGGCAGAGCACAGGGCAGTCCACAGAACCCCTAGTGCAGGGCACAAGGAAGGTCTGCAGAGCCCCTGAAACACAGGAGAGGGCAGGGCCCAGGGAGCCACTGGGGCATGCACAGAGCTCCAGGGATACTTCAGGGGGCATTTTCTCCATCCTCTGTATGACCTTGGCCTAGGCGGAGAAGGCAGATATCATGACCTATCGATAACAGAGACTTAGGACACCTGGGTTCCCCTCTGAGCTGTCCCTGACCTGCTGTATGACCATTGGCAAGCCACTGCCCCTCTCTGGTCCTGTCTCCCCTCCAACCTCCTGGCTTCACTGACAGTCAGAGGGGCTGTATAAAGATCCTTCACCATCCCCCTGCCATGAGAGCAATCCCTGTCATCAGGGCACAGCTGTACTAACACCTGCGGGGGGGGGAGTGAAAACAAGTCTTAAACCTCTCCCTTCAGCACATGCTGCATCTACACTGACTCTGTTGACACGACCAGCATGGCTGAGGCTCCACAGGGCAGAAGATCCCCTTGTCTGGCCAGCTGAGACTACAGGCTCCTCAAAACAGGGAACATCTGTCTCATGGGATGTGCTGCATCTCACAGGGCAGGGCCCACGTCTTGGTGGGAGTCTCCATCACCATCGCAGACTCGGGGGCCCCCCGCCTCAGCATGACACCTGTGTCAGCTGCCCAGGGGTGCCCAGCTCCAGGCTGGAGGCACCCAGACACAGGAGCCACGGCATTTCATCCCCCAGAAACTGGGCCTGTCCCTCAGGCCAGCTCGCCGTGGTAAACAAGGCCTCTCCCAGGCCAGCAGACGCCCTGCCTAGAAAACAGCCTCACTGCCTTGGCAGCCAGGGGGACAGGGAGCAGCAGGCGAGTCCTGGCACCTGGGCACAGCACGAGTGGGGATGGCCAGGGCCGAGGCAGGCTCCGCACCAGGACGGAGCCAGAGCTGGGAGAACGGGGTCTGCTGCCAAACAGTGGCCCAAAGACGGCTGCTAGGAGCTGTGCTGTCCTCCGCCAGCCAGACCCGCAGAGCTGGGCCGAGCCGGCGGGAGGCTGCCTCGGGG